ACCAGGCTGCACAAGAGCGAGACCCCGTCTCTACTATAAATAGAAAGAAGTTAATTGGCCAATTAATATATATAGAAAAAATTAGCCGGGCATGGTGGCACATGCCTGTAGTCCCAGCTACTCGGGAGGCTGAGGCAGCAGGATTGCTTGAGCCCAGGAGATTGAGGTTGCCGTGAGCTAGGCTGATGCCATGGCACTCACTCTAGCCTGGACAACAAAGTGAGACTTTGTCTCAAAAAAAAAAAAAAGATAACGGTGGATATATTTTTCCACACCCATACAATGTATGACACCAAGAATGAACCCTAATATAAACTATGGACTTTGGGTGATTATGATGTGTCCATCTAGGCGCATCAATTGTAACAAATGTATCACTCTGGTGAGGGATGTTGATAATAGGGGAAAAGTTATGCACATGTGGAGCAGAGAGTATTAGGGAAACCTCCATACTTTCCTCTGGATATTGCTGTGAACCCAAAACTGCTTTTTCTTTTTAGGCAGGGCACAATGGCTCACACCTGTAATCCTATCACTCTGGGAGGCTGAGGCAGGAGGATCGTTCAAGGTCAGGAGCTCAAAACCACCCTGAGCAAGAGTGAGACCCTATCTCTACTATAAATAGAAAGAAATTAATTGGCCAACTAAAAATATATAGAAAAAATTAGCCAGGCATGGTAGCACATGCCTGTAGTCCCAGTTACTCGGGAGGCTGGGGCAGAAGGATTGCTTGAGCCCAGGAGTTTGAGGTTGCTGTGAGCTAGGCTGACGCCACAGAACTCTAGCCAGGGCAACAGAGTAAGAGTCTGTCTCAAAAAAAAAAAAGAAAAGAAAAGAAAAAAAAGATAAATTCTTTTTAAAAACATGGCTTAGACCTTTTCTGTATGTCATAAAAAGAATAATTATGATAAGAGAGAAACCACCAAGGAGTGGGGAATCTGCAGCCTGAAGGCCACATGTGGCCCTCCAGATCCCCAAGAATGGCCCCTCGACCAAATCCAAACTTCACAGAACAAATCCCTTTATTAAATATTATATTCAAGCATAGGAGAGATTACCATTTAGTAGAAATGCTATAAAAGAAAGTAAAGCAATAGAAATGTAAGTGGACTACAAAATTTTTAAGGTCCTTTCCAGTTCTAAAGTAGGTTACATTAACTCTATACAGTGAGTCAAAAAAAGAAAAGAAGAAAAATAAGATACATTAAAAAAAATAGGCCAGGCGCAGTAGCTCACACCTGTAATCCTAGCACTCTGGGAGGCCGAGGCCGGTGGACTGCCCGAGGTCAGGAGTTCGAAACCAGCCTGAGCAAGAGCAAGACCCCGTGTCTACTATAAATAGGAAGAAACTAATTGGACAACTAATATATAGAGAAAATATTAGCCAGGCATGGTGGCGCATGCCTGTAGTCCCAGCTACTTGGGAGGCTGAGGCAGTAGGATTGCTTGAGCCCAGGAGTTTGAAGTTGCTGTGAGCTAGGCTGACACCACGACACTCACTCTAGCCTGGGCAACAAAGTGAAACTCTGTCTCAAAAAATATATATATATACATATATATTTTTTAACTAAAAAATTTAATATAATAAAATAATAAAAATAAAGTACATTACAGGGTAAAGCTAGAAAAAAGTCTATGCAGCACTCTAAATAGCAGGCTAAAGAATCTCAATGTAATTATCTGTGCAACAGATAGCCATAAAGGTTTTTTTGTTAAAGGATATCTAAGATCAGATTTGTTTTTGTTTATTCATTAGTGTATTTATTTATTTATTGCCTACCATCTTCGCAGACACTGTGATAAGTGTTGAATATACTGAATCAAATAAGACATGATCTTTTGCCCTTAAGCTTACAGTGAGATGTCTAGCATATAGATAGGCATTCAATAAATATTTTTGGAGGAATTAATAAATACATGATAGAGATATGCTGAAAGTACTAAGTGAAAGAAGAGGAACATCTAAATTAGATTGCAAGATTAGGAATACTTCCCAAGGATGGTAATATTTTTTCTGAGTTTTGAAAGACAAATAGGAATTTAGAAGATAAAGAAAGGAGAATCAGCCAATAAAAGGAACAATATATGCAAAGGCACAGAAACATAATATGTTTAGGGTTTTGAAAGTAGTCTTCCATAAGCTTGTGCATGTGAGACATGTGGAGGACATTTGCAAGGTAGAGGGGAGGGGCAAATAGCAAGCTACCTAGAAAATTATGGAAAGCCATTGAAGGAATTAGACAGTGGCATGATTTAATCTACATTTTGGAAAAGCATCAAGGACTTTGTTCTCTGTTGATGGATAAGAAATTCAAACCAACCTTCCTGATGAAGACAACCTGAAGGAAATCTTTTCTAATTATTAAAAGAATCAAACATATAAAATTATAATAATGGTTCACCAGGCCTAGAACAGGTTGAGGATTAAACTCAAAATCCAAAACCATTTTCCAGTGCTACCCAAGATAGAGTAAGTCCACTACAGCCTATCTATTCCATTGGTTACAACTAAAACCTCTGAACAAAATACGAAACGCAACTCCATGAGAACTCAAAAAAGTAAGCAAAAGCAGGCAAATTCAGGAAGAGGAGCAAAAACTTGAAGAAGTAATTCAGGTGAAGGTGAGTTTCTAGTTTGTTTAATTTTTTCCTGCTTTGTCTCCTGGCATTAACCCAAGCGTAAGTCTTCAGCAAAACCATAACAGGAATATGAGCAGCAAAAAAGGAAACCCTGACACAAACTATACTACAACTACATTTACTATGTTCACAAAGATAAAAAATTGAACTTTAAAATTTCAGCAAGGAACTTAAAACTCTAAATGATGCTACAGATTTTTAAAGAACCAACTAATACTCAACCAGGAAACACAATTACAGAAATTAAGGCATCAACTGAAAATTTTTAAAACAGACAAGAATTAGCTAAATAGAAAATACAAATGAATTGGAAAAGATAGAAGAAATCATCCTGAAGAGCACAATGAGAAAAAAGATGAAAAATACATAGAGAATAAGAAATATAGAAGATACAGAAGAGTAACATCCCAGGGGCTCTGCACTTGTTCCCTCTGTTGGAAATATTCTTTCTCAAAATAGCTACCCGGCACACTCCCTTACTTTATTCAGGTCTCTACTCAAATGTCACTTAATCAGGTCTCTACTCAAATGTCACTTAATCAGAAAAAACTTCCCCAACCACCCTATCCCGAAATATTCTCTCCTTAAGCATTTATCACCTAATATAGAGTTATTTACTCATTCATGATTTGTATCCCCCCACTAGAATGTATACTGCATAAAAGCAGAAACTTTCTTCACTGCTGTTTTTCCTTAGCATCTAGAACATTTCATAACACATACTAAGCATTTTAAAAAGTGTTATATGAATGAATAAAAGAAAGAGAAAAATCACAATAACAAAAAGATTGGTCAACAACTTAAAGCAAGAATCTGGAAAGTCTATACTAATAATAACGCAAGTATTAAGATTTTTTAAAAAAAGGTCTTGTGCCCCTAGATGAGATAAAAAGAAAAAAAATAAATAAATAAAATAAATAAATAAATAAATAAAGGTATCTACATGTCACATCAAGAGATAACCCCCCCAACACCTTTAGTTCATTTAAGAGATCACCTAAAAAATGTTTAGAAGATTCTTCAAGCCTCCCCCACCATCTGATCTCTAACTTAGCTAAAAAAAAATTGAGGAAAGAAGTAGCAGGCCTGTCTCTCTAGCCCACGTTACTTTCTGCAAGACAGGTAATGTACTATCCCTCCACCCGCATCCCTGTACTTTTCACCATCTTCTATAAAGAAGTTAATCTTGAAAGTTAATCAAGAGAAGTTAATCTTGAAAGTTAAATAGACAGTATGTAGTGAAGGAGCTGGTAGTGGTACAGTATATTCTGGAACATATATATAGTCTCAAAAAGAAAAAAAAAAAAAGCAAAGTACTACAAGCAGGGACCAAGAATTTAAAAAACTAGCAATAGTTCATGTTAGAAATAACAATAATAATAACATTAATAATAATAAAATAGGTAACATTTATTGAGCACTTGTACTGTTCTAAGCATTTTATATTTATCAACTAATCTAATTCTCAGAACAGTACTAAGAGGCCTTTTATTTAATAAACAGAATGAATCAGAGAGACTACATAATTTATTCAAATTATTCAAGCTCAAGCAAGTAGAAACCAAAAGTCTGAATTTGAGCACAGGCTGTCTAATTTTTAAGCCCAAGCTGTTAAGCAGCAAGCTTAAAATTTTTAGCTAGGAAAAATAGAGAATATCCTGAAAAAGCAGGTAAACAGTATTTCCCAACACATTCTTTGCAAAATCAAAGTAGAGCCAGTGTCAAATAAATGACAAAGATAAAGACTATTATTTTTGATAATCAAATATTTTTGGTTTTCAGCAAAATGAAAAAAATTCTACTTTTTAATTAAAATATCAAAACATGCATAAAATTTTAAAAATTGCTCTTTCATATACATACCACAATCTTATTAGAATATTTTAAAAGAATGTTTATTTAAGAGAAATTGGACAATTCTATCTAGATTAGAAATAAATAATAATAATGCATCACTGTTCCTAAGCACTATGGCTTCAGCAAAGCCTTCTACCAGTATTTTCTATTATGAACATGGCTCTATATTATTCTTGATTCAATTTTCTGGTTGTTCCAGACATAAATAGGTTAGTCTCAAAATCATACTTTAAATGAAATGGGAATTAACTATAAATATCAAGTATATATCTTTTGAAATATTTTACCTTTCAAAATGTTTTGAGCCTTCAAAAATCTCAAAACTCAAAGAACTGACACTCTAGTTACTACTTACATTAAAAAAATTTTAAAAGTCTGAGACACATATAACTTGTTCAAATCAAAAGTGGTTCCATAAAGTGAAAAGAATTTCTTCCCCTCTCCACCTCTACCATTAAAATAATATGTTGATAAAAATTACATAAAACAAGAAAGATACTTACATTTCTTTGTCTTTTCTGCAGATCTACCACAGGTTTCTTTGAGTAGGTTACACAAATGCCTTGTAGCATTATTCCTGAAACAAAGGAAGAAGTTTGCCTAAGTGTAAAATCTGATCTCAAAGCAAAATCACATGTAAAAGTTTTAAAACATATCATTACAATTTTTAAAGAAGTTTTTAAATATAATATTTGATATATATCATGTATCACTCATAAATTACCATATAAAGAATAAATGGGTTCATTGTGCTACTAGCAAAGATGATTTAGTAGCTGCCTCCATTTAAAAGTAAAAGTGACAGCTCTTTAAGAAGTTTCTACCCAAGTTGCTATCGATAACCTTTGAGTAAAAAGGTCCAGAATTGCCAAAGAAAAAACAATGAGAAAAAAAAAAAAAGACAGGCTGGGCCCAGTGGCGGGATGCAGTAATTAATAAAAAAGCCACTTAGCCCAGTCAAAAAAAGAAAAAACAATGAGAAGAATGGATTGGGCCTTTCATTTACTAATTACCCCAGAAATGTTCTAGATGTCTAACCTTTAAAACATAAAATAAGGTGACTTTCTGGCTAGGTTTTCATTATGTGAATAATAAGACCTCTAGCTGTCTGGTTGAAGTTACTAATATATACAAGAGTTAGATTTAATTTTCTAACTTACAATTTTTCTGAAATGAATTGTTATGCTGACAAAAACAGGAATTTGAGAGTGAGAAGTGAGAATTAGCTCGAAACTAAGTTGAACCCTACTTTATAAATGCTGTACCTAAGGCAATAGTGAAACAGAAAGACAATATACATAGGCAGTTGTAGATGCAGGATTATCAGGCATCTTTTTTGACACAAAGAAACGGCTCTTTCTGATGCCTGACATTTTAAAAAGTGAAAAGTTACTAATCCATGACCACAGTTTGCCAAATACAAGAATGCAGAATGGTAATATCTTCCTTTTTCTACAGCAATTAAGTAGAATTCCACTTATAAATTAATATTATATAACACATAGAAAGTGCTCAATAAATTTTTGAAAATTATTTGTATAATTAAATTTGGAATAAAAATAAATTTGGAAGAAGAAATTCATTAAATTACTACTTACTCTTTTATTAAATCTTTATTTTCTTGAATTCCTTCTTCTAATTTCAAACTTACTTTTTCATTTCCAAACTAATTTACAAAACAGAAGAACAGTTCACTACATTTTGCTTAGCAAAATAAACATGAGTATAATCATTAAGCAGTACTTCTTTGAAACATACTTAAGTAGTCTATAAGAATTATTTTCTTTCCACACAAAAGGAACTTTTTTTATCATAGCTTATGGATTTCCCATAAAAATATGGGTCTCAGCTCATCAATCTAAAATAAAGATTGCTGAGTCATCTCCACAAAACACTCAACAATATTTTAACACAATATAAACATTTTGAAGTAATGTTTTCTCTGTCCTAACTCAATGTTGCATTTTCTCAACATTATTTTCACTTTATGCTATAAAATCAAAGCCACACTTTTAAATTTAAAATTTTATCTATAAATATATTCTAATATAATAAAAGACATTTAGCTGGGCATGGTGGCACATGTCCAGCTGCTCAGGAAGCTGAGGCAAGAGGATCACTTGAGCCCAGCAGTTCAAGGTTACGGTGAGATATGACTGAGCAAGACCCTATCTCTAAAAAAAATTAATAATAAATAAATGAATATATTTAAAAATAAAAGACATATGTATGAAACAAATCATCAATAATAGAAAATAAAACTAATAAATTAGAATTATTGAATTATTAAATCAATATTTATCTAAAGTAATTTATTAGTTCTCTAATCATTTGGCTTAAGTTTTGTACAACTTGTCCTCTATGCTCATTTCTAAAGCTAAAATTCAACTAGTAGCAATGAAACTTCAAAAGAGCACTATCCTGGCCGGGCGCGGTGGCTCAAGCCTGTAATCCTAGCACTCTGGGAGGCCGAGGCGGGCGGATTGCTCGAGGTCAGGAGTTCGAGACCAGCCTGAGCAAGAGCGAGACCCTGTCTCTACTATAAATAGAAAGAAATTAATTGGCCAACTAATATATATATATATATAAAATTAGCCGGGCATGGTGGTGCATGCCTGTAGTCCCAGCTACTCGGGAGGCTGAGGCAGAAGGATTGCTTGAGCCCAGGAGTTTGAGGTTGCTGTGAGCTAGGCTGGCGCCATGGCACTCACTCTAGTCTGGGCAACAAAGAGAGACTCTGTCTCAAAAAAATAAATAAATAAATAAATAAATAAAAAGAGCACTATCCTTAAAATCTGTATCACAATATCCCAGTTTGTCCCAAAATAATACTCTATTTTCAACAGTATTATAACAAGATTTACTATATAACAATTCAAAATTCCATTATACCTGTAGTTCTTGAATGGCTTTTCGCTGTGCTTCAATTATCTTTCTATTTTCTTGCAACTTATTTTCCTTCTGCTTCAGTTCAGATTCTACACTCACTTTCCATTTTTTGATCTTTTCAGCCTCCTTATATAGTTTTGAATATAGTCTGCTTATTGGCTCTGAATTCTATTAAAATAGGTTTTCAAAAATTAATTGTTCAAAATTTTAATATAACCAAACTACACCTGTGTATTGAAAATATCCATACGCTAACAATTGAGACATATCACTCCTCAATTTATGCCCTAGTAGCATACTAAAAGCTACAGTTACTCTTTTAAACTACTAAGGCAATATATAGCTTGCTATATCAAATGGCTCCAAAATATACTTAAGAAGTTAGAAATACTTTAGTCAATGAAAGAATCTGTCTTGCTAAAAGCTAAAATAAATCACTCTACAAGAAATCTACAAATCTTAATAATAGTCTTGAAACATTTTGATTATACAAACAAAATTTGAGGATTAACTAAAGGACATGAACTTTAAAATATAATGAGAAGAAAAATAATAGTGAACACTAGATATAATTTGCATCAAGCCTGAGGTTTTATTTGGATTTCCTGCCCTTTTTGTCCACATTATATTGTAAATACCAGAGTTTCTTTTTTTAAATCACACTGATTTCTGCTTGCTAATAGCTTTTTGTTACCACAATATATGAATAGGTACCATGTTTTTAATTCTGTGATACTATAATCACAGTAACAAACATACAGTACTTTATTGGACATGGAATTTCTCTTTTTTTTAATTTCTCTTCATTTTAAAGACATCTATATGCCATAGGAACAATTTTTTTTCTTTTTCAAATAATTTTTTATATTCTGAAAGTAGATATTTACAGTTTTGTCACCACCAGGAAAACATATATGTGGGTGGCAGTGTGAAAGAGCCCCTTCTTATTTCAGTTCATCAGGGGCTCTGTGTTACATGACTGACAAGACAAATTGTGACATTCACAATATGTTATTATTGGACATAAAACTATGTTTTTTAAAAAAATCAAGGAAAGCAATCCATTAAATCCAATGAAGATATGTTACCTAGTGAAGCAAGAGAAATTGGATTTGAAATGCCTTGGGAGTATATACATTCATAGGAACAATTTTTATAACTAAAATCAAAAATATAGCATGTCCTATAAATTCTTTACACAATAAACAAGGCAACCAATCGATTTCATCTATTAAATGATTATTTTATAAAATACTGGCTTGATTCTAGCCTTTTCACACATTGTATCTACCTCTCTCTTCTACTCCTGATTTCTATGGTTTAAAATTAAGTTACATCTAAAGAACTGAATGATTTTACAATCCAGGAAAATACAGAAGCCTAGTGTTTCAGCAACTTTAAAAGAAAAAAAGGTTTTAACACATTGACTGCCATGTGAGTTGTACTTAACTCAGGCTATTTTTGAGCCAAGGCCTTGTGAAGCAAAAACCTGGAGTTGGTTTGAAAATCTTACTTGTTGATGTTCGTATTGTTACAATTAATATTAACAATTTAATTCTAAAAATGTATATTGTGTTGCATATAACTCACACACAGAAAACTATAAAAAGTAACAAATTAGAAAGGATAATTTTCTTTTAAAGAAACACCATGACCCCAAGGAAACTTTTTCTAGTGTGGCAGTCAATGTGTTAAAGGACATATTTTAAAACATTAACCAAATATTAATCCTTTTGAAGCTTCAAAAGAAAGATATGTAAATAAATTATACTCCAATTACAAGAAATTTAATATGAATGGGAAATCTTCTTACCTCAAAACCAGAGTCTTTTAGTCCTACTTGATAGCGACAACTGTCAGAATTACCAATCTAAAATAAATAAATAAATAAATGTTTCCACTAAGAAAATATTTCTAATAAGAACATCCAAATATTAGCAATTAAATACGGAAAGAAGACCAGTAATCCAACAACTAAAGAGTTTTTTTCCTTCAAGTAAGCAATGTAGTACCTAAGCACATATTTATATACTCTACGCTTAACTGACCTGTTCAAGCATGGGCAAAAAGTTAACTTTTTGTAAGACAGGATCTGCAATATAAAAGACAACTGGTATTAAATATGACATCTTATTTTTTTATATTAAGTACTGCATCTAGCTTTCATGTCAAGCATATCAATAATATTTGTTTTACTTTTTAATAACTAACAACTTATATAATAAAATGCTTCTAAGTGAGCTGATACATTGCTTTTCCAGGCTCCTACCTGAATCAATGTTTTCCACATTTTTGGAGAGAGTAGTCATTGCAAATGGAAAGCCATAATCATCTTCAATACATTTGTTGAAACTCTAGAAACACAAAGAAGTTCTTAAATTTGCTGTTTCATACCACTCTGATACCTAGCAGTGTAATATATAAATATGTACACATCTGCTTAAAGTGACTATAATTGCAAATCCTTTAATGGGCACATAGTGTTTAAAGTATCAAATGCATCTGCTATGTAAACAAAGCAAAATTTTTTGGTTATTATTACTTGTAAGATGAAGCTAAACTGTAAATTTTGGCTTTGTAAGTATTCAATACATGGCTTTGTAGGTATTCAAGAACAATATCAGTAATTTTAACTAGTAGTATAGAATATTAGTTTTTTTCAATTCCATGATGATACTTCTCTCAATAGAATCTAGAATTGATTTCACGGAATAGCATATTCTTGCTTACAGCAGCCATAAGAAATTTTCTATAGCGTATAAAATTATTCATTGCATCATTCCTCCTCCAACACAAAGTACCAATGACAAATTTTTTTAATAATTCGGTAGTTTTTTAAAAAAGCTCTCTTTCACCTGAGAAACTTGATATAATTCCTCCTTTCCACTGAGAACTCTACTATATAAATGAATTTCCCTCTTGATTCTGAGCACCGGGAAGCTCAGAGCCAGATCTGAAGCTCAGTCACAACACTAATTAGTGCCCATACGTAGGCATTTGTCCAAATATTCCTAATTTTCCTTGGAAAAATACCTAATTTTCTCCTAACCTATATTGTAGTATTTCATTGTATAAGTCTTACACGCTGCCGCCAATCATTTAAGGAAAGGAGGAGGATTAAAATAAGTAGGTCCTACTATGTATGCAGAGTTCTACAGCGGCAGTTATTTCTTTAAATGAATGATGCTCTCGCACAATAATGCTCATTACTCATTCAACACCATGCTATTCAAAAATTATTTGATAAATCAGACCATATTTACTGAGAAGAAATAATTACAACATATCACCAGTAAGAAAGTACACCTTGCCTCGTTTACGTGAAGTTACGAATAGGCACAACGAAATTTACCTTAAAGAAACTAGAATCTCCTCCCCCTAAGGTCTGAGGTTTCACCGCCGATACTTGACTGCTGCTCAATCTTGGTGGTACAAACAGTTTAAAAGGCTTTTGCTTTTCCATTTTCTCTCTTCTAGCTGTAAATATCTATTGCCCGGGAGGGGAGGGGGCAAGAGGAGGTAAGTTTTACACAGTGTTTCATTAGTACACTATTTATTCCAAAAAGGTCGTGTTTGTATACGACGCGGCTAGATAAGGGGATCCGTGCGACCCTTGCCGCAATGTCACCTGCCGCGTGGCTCACTGCGGGGTGGTCAAAGGCAAAACGCCGCCGCGTTTTTTCCCACTACGCCCCCCATCGCCCGTCGCCACGCCGCAGGGGGAGATGAGCGAGAAACCTGAAGAAGACATGACAGGGACAGCCTGAAAAGAAAGCCCATTCCCGTCTCCAGCCCTGTTAAATTCCGCCACATGGCCAGGAGGCACTGTCTTTAAAGTATCGGACTACTAGCGAAAAGAAGGTGGTGGCTGGCTGCCTCCGCTCTGAGGAGCAAGTATCCCAACACTGCCCCAGCTCTCGTCCTCAGGAAAGGAACTCGGTACACCTGCCCCTACCTTTGAAGAACTAAATGGGCACCCTGGACTGGGCGCCCACGCGAGCTGCTACCTGCTGCCTCTGAGGGCAGCAGAAAGAACTAAGAGCTTCAGCCTCCGAACCTCAGAGAAGCTGGGAAACGCTCCATCTGGGCGGTGGGAAGAGTGGGGAGGGGCGAGCGGCCGGTTAACGGCTAAATAACGGTCCCCGGAGTGGGCGGGCCTGGCTCCCAAGACCTGCATCTCGCGAGATTTCCCTGGTCGCTAGGAACAATTCTTTCTCGAATTCTATAGTTCTCCCTGGAGTAGACGTTCTTTAAGCTTCTGCCATTGTCAAAGAATGCTGCGAAAACTGTCAGTGCTATGACAGACTGAGGCTGAGAGTGAAAAATCCATTCCTACCATCCAATAGCTCACAATCTTTGGAAGAAAACAGATGTGCAAACAATTATAGTACCGTGTAATCCTTTAAGGGTTGTTTCTACAAAAAGTTGTGAGGACATAGGGAAAGTGGCGTTTGAAGTGGCTTCCAAAGTCAGGAAAGGCTTCACAGAACAGATGCTTGTTACAGCTTCAGACAAGAATAAAAGACAATACACTGTTGGGTAGATAGTCAATGGGGAAAGAGTATTCTTGGCTGAGGAAAGGCAGTCAAAAGCACTGGATTTGTGAGAGAGATTAGTACAACTGAGTACAAGAAGTGTGGTGTAGGTGTGTGAGGATCAAGCGGGCAAAATGGCAAGAGATGACACTAGAGACTTCAAGAGCAGATATGAAGCCCTTCCAAAGGCGTTTGGATTTTAGACTTTATGGATGGGGATCTTGAAGAATTTTGAGCATGATCAGGTTCAGGAGAAAATTTGTAGTATGCAGAATGGTTGGGCTCATGAGACTGGAGTAGGGAGACCTGAGCAACGACAGTGGCAGTGGAGTTGAAGAGGAGGTGTCAAATGCAAAAGATTATTTAGGAATTAAAATTAATAGAATCTGATAACTTCTTAACAGTGAGAAGTGAAAGAAAGAAGTCTAAGATAACTACCTGGTTTCAGGCTTGAGTAACTAACTATGTCATTATCATGGTGCTAAGTACCCAGGTTTGAGAAATAAGAAATGAGTTCTTTTCTGAATAAACATATTGACTTTGATTTCTATCTTTCTCCAGGTATCATAATATAATTGATGCTTTTTCAAAGAACTTTAGCAATATTTTTAAATAACTCATTTTGTGTTGCACAAATCTAATTTCTCAGACACAATAGTTTCTGCCAAAATTATAAAATTTTTGAATTGGAAAGGATAATCAGTTTAACTTCTTCATTTTACATGTTAAGGAAATTGAGTCTAGATGCCTTATTCTGATTACAACCATGTCCAGTGGCCAGCCTTTCTCATGTCTATAAATATCCTATATATTTTTATTCAATTTTCTGCAAAATGAAAACAGTGACTTTTCTTTAGGTGATAATTCTATGATTCCTTTTGAAAGTTTGAGTTCCAATCTTGAAAAGAATCCTAGATATCCCTCTAGTGATAGTTCTGTATTCCACAAAATTTGATGAGCACTGATAATGTTCGTTTTATGGTGATATACTGGTAACATAGCAATCCTGTTCATGTTTTCCAAATCAGTCATCTTATGCTGATAGAATAAACAATTCAGAGTTAGGAAGTTTAAGAGAAACCACAACATTCTAAAATATTAGCAATGTAAATACAAATGCCGTTGTTTCAGAGAATAGTCAATTGAGGGTCGTTTGTTTTCCAAGTGCTAAGCATTTCTGAGAGGTTGTGATTCAGAATTCTCAGTTCAGTAAGCTTCCCTATGAGACAAGCAAAATGCTGTAGGTCTTCTGGATGGTAAATTTTTGAATATTTATACAAAATTTGTAAAATGGGTTCTTGAAGATTTTCCACATGTTGCTTATTTTTAAGGCATGGACGATCGGAAAAACATCATCATTTTTATCTTAATGTATATTGGAAAGTGATAGAAGATAATGAACTCATTTAAAACAGTGTATTTTTAAATAATAAAAACAAATATTTACTGAACCCTTAATATATGCCACATATCATACTGACCACTCTGTACAGTCTATTCTCTGTATAATAGCCAGAGTAATTCTTTGAAAATATGTCAGATCATGTCATTTCTCTGCTTATAATAGTAGTAGACAATGATGGAAAGAACTTTGGCTTTAAACTGTGTAACATAGGAAGTTACTGAAGGGTTATAAGCAGAGAAATGACATGATCTGACATATTTTCAAAGAATTACTCTGGCTATTATACAGAGAATAGACTGTACAGAGGCAAAGGTAGAAAGAGGAAAACCAGTTAGGAGAACAGTTTAGATTATGGTGGTAGAGACAGAGACAGTAAGAAGTGGTCAAGTTCTGGATATATTTTGAGGGTGGAGCCAAAAGGATTTGTTGTATATGGGTATAAGAGAAAGAAGAAGTTAAGGATAACTTAAATAATTTTTGCTTATGCAACTTGAAGAGTAGAGATACCACTTAGCAGAGAAGGAAGAAAAATATAGGAGAATAGAGGGAGATTAGGGGTTTACCTTCAAGCATGTTAAATTTGATATGCCTACTAGACATACAAATTGAAATCTTAAGTAGGCTATTTAATGGCAATTGGGGGAGCATTCCAGGTTGGTGTATAAATTTAGGAGTGGTCAGTATAAACATACATACCTTTAAAGCCATGAGATAGGATGAAATTGCAAAGTGATATAGAAGAAAGAGAACTGAGACCTGGGACACTCTAATATTTGTCATTGTGGGAGATAAGGAGAAATTAACAAAGAAGACAGAAAGAACAGCTACTAAAGAGAAAATTTAGAGAGTGTGGGGTTCTGTAAATCAAGTGAAAAAAAATTCATGTCAAGGAGGAGGAACTGATCAACTGAACCCACATGATAAAAGTGTTCTAAAGAGAAAGGATGTGATGTGTTCTATCAAATATAGCTGATGACTCCAGTAAGATAAGGGCTAAGAATTGACAACTAGAATCAGCAATGACAAAATCCTGAAGATATTGACAAGTTATGGTGGTGTTGAGAGGAGGGGGAAAAATCTGACTATAGAGGGTTTAGGAGTTAACAAAAGGAGAGAAATGGAGACAAGAGTATACACAACTCCTTAAAGAAATATTTTTCTGTACAATGGAACAGACAAATGGGAGAGTAGATGACAGGGGATGAAAGGTCCAGAAAGTATTCTTTAAGATGCAAGAAATCACAGCATGTTCATAAACTTAAAGGAATACTCTCATAGAGAAGGAAATTGTTATCAAACAAAATTGGTACATTTGGCTTCAAAGAATAATTAAATAACCACAAACTTCATGATTTCATTGCCACATTCAATCCATATTTTTATGGCTGAATGGTTTTTACCTGAAAAAAGCACCGCTGTTGCTGCAAATAGAGCATATTCAGTGTTAGTAATATTAAGTTCACTCATTCTTCTGTAGAAGTAAAACAGTGCAGTAATAAATTCTTCAGTAACACCTAAAAAATGTAATATCAAAATATTTTTCATCAGAACATAGTGCAGAATTAAACATATTGCAATTATCATTTTATCTTAGAGTAGTATAAGAAAATAAAACATATCCAACCAAATTTTTCCATTCAATATAATATTTTATATTGTATGTAATATTACCAGTTAGAGTAGTAGGACAGTCTTCATTACAAAATTTGTCCATAGAATAAATAACACTCTTATCACCACTCTGATTGTGACAATTCTGTATATGATCTGAATAGTTTGATATTCTCACAGTACCTAGCAAAAAGGAAAAATACGAAGTCCAATTTTTTCTAAAGTTTATACAGGTTAGTAAGTTCAAATAAAACTAAAATAAAACATACATACAACCAACTTTTTGTTTGTCTTAACTCTAAGTCTTGTTCATTTGGATAATATTTTCATATATTCAGATTTTCATTTACCCGATTAATTATAGCAGACAAACATGGTTTTGCTTTTAGAAGCAGCTTTGGTAGAAAAATAGAGGTTTTTGTTTTCCTAAAATATCCCCTTGCTTTAAAACAGGGAACTTTTTAAAAAATTAGTTTAAAAAAATTAGTTTAAGTTTAAACTAATTTTTTTCCAAAGGTAAAGTAATTACCTGGGAGTCCCTTGGTAAAATTCATTAATGCATGTCCATGTAAGACTGCTATCTCTGAGAGTTGCAAAAAGCTTAATTCAGGATTTGCATAATACTGCAGCTAATCCATAAAAAGAAATGAGATTAATAACTTTTATTTTCTTTCGAATAACTGTTGAAATTTTAAACTGTTATGTTTGCACTCTTATTTTCTAACATAATTATAAAGTATTTCATATCAGTAATGAATACATACAAATTTGTTTCCTCTAAAGAAATTACATATTTTTGATGGGCACCCACAATGTTATTAATGAGCTGATGTTCCTCTTGAGTTAGTTCCATGCGGTCCTGAATCTTTAAGAAATTATAGGGGGAAAACTATAATGCACACTCATTAAACAAAACACCATCATTAAAGGAATAAGAAATTTTACAAAAAGAAAAGCCTTGCTGCTTTCCCAGATCTAGTGGTGGATGTTACTCCCTCTTCTTCCACTTTGTTGTTAGAATAAAGACTATTGTTCTGCTTAAAGTTCTTATGAAGTCTCTTTGATTTACATTGGATTTCTGTGAGCAAACCTGTGATATTACAAAATTCATATAAAATGTTTTTAGTATGGCAGATAACATTATAGGATTTGATTAAAATTGTCTTGTACACATATATGATCATAGACTTGCCTTTTTACAAAGAACCCTTCTTTTTGGAGAAGTATGTACACAGCAATTAAATTTACTATGCTACTTTTTCCTTTTCTTTCCACAACTATCTTGTCTACTGAAAAGTACATAGTCGTCCTAGATATAAATTAAAAATTAATTTTATTATCTCTAAATTATAAATTTATACTTTCATATTAGAGCAATTTTCACATTAATTATATCTTGGAAGCAGCATAGAATATCAATTGTTAGAACAATTGAACTACCTTATCTGAAAGCTTTTTGTCCTGGTGAACAATTCTTATTTTTGGCTTGGCACCTTTATAGGTCTTTTAATCTTCAACTGGTACCTCTACCTGAGCAACAGCAGTTATATAAATCACTACTAAAATTAACCAAATATTAATAATTTCCTTTCGTTATGT